TATTTTTATTTATTTATACAAGCACTGGGCACAGTCAGAAGCGCGGGAGGGTGAGAGAATTCACCAGAGCCAGAGCGGGGAGCAGAACAGGCAGAAGGACTGAAGTACACTGCTGAGGGGAGCAGCGGGCGGCAGGAGAGGTCGGCGCGCCATGTGGGATCCTCCTCCGGTGGCCGGGGAGCAGCCGGGGATCGAACTGGCGCTGCAGAGGCTGCGGGCAGCTTCACAACCCAGAGCTCAACCGCTGCGCCACCGGGGAGGCCCAATATTAGTGATTCTTAATAAAGTTTTTATATCATAACTAAAATGTCATGCCTCTGTATCTTTAATTACTTTCAATCTGTAAAATATATGGCATGCACTCCACTCCTCTCTATTTCAATTGGGCATCAATGAAGGTTCTTTTTTTTTTTTTTTTTTTTGATTTATTTATTTATACAAGCACTGGGTACAGTCAGAAGTGAGAGAGGGTGAGAGAATTCACCAGAGCCAGAGCGGGGAGCAGAGCAGGCAGAAGGAGCGAAGCACACTGCTGAGGGGAGCAGCGGGCGGCAGGAGAGGTCTGCGCGCCATGTGGGACCCTCCTCCGGTGGCCGGGGAGCAGCCGGGGATCCAACCGACGCTGCAGAGGCTGCGGGCACCTTCGCAACCCAGCGCTCAACCGCTGCGCCACCGGGGAGGCCCTCAATGAAGGTTCTTGACGTTCAAGACCAGTACTTGTTAAACTGTGGTATCTCTGGTAATGAAGTATTTGAATACATATGTGAATGTAATTGTGAGTTACTTTCAGTACTGAGTAAAGCAGATCCCTGCTGTGTTTGTGCTGGAGTCACGTATGTATGTCACTCTGTCTCTAGATATTTTGTCCAAGAACTGCCCCGCCAAAGGGATACTAGTGACTGCTTTGTAAAAAGATCACTGTTAAATGGCAGCATATACTCGTTGAGTACAATTCTTTGTAACTGTCTTGCTCTCCTGCTCATCTTCCTTTTTTATATTAAAATAAGTGTGTGTTTACTGTAGAGAAAAACAGTCTGGTCACTTCCTAGGAAGTTTCATAAATGTACTTATCAAGATGCTGCTTGGTCATTGCTACATATTATTGAAAAAACTTAATAACAAGACTTCTTAAATAGTATATTACTATGTATTTGGAATTCTGCATTTGAAAGGAAAAACACTTTATAATGTAGAAATGCAAATCAGGAAGTTTTTTGAAAGTAAGAATTATATTTTTCTTTATAATTAGTCTTTGTGTAAAATGGGTACTTAGTAATCATTGGCATAGTTAATTGAAATTCAGATGCTTTTGAATAATTTGTTAGGTTGGGTATAGCATTTTATATTAAATATTTTACTAGAAATATGCTAAAAAGTCCTCAATGATGGAGAAGATGCTGTATAGGATTATTTGACTAGTGACATTGCAGAAGTATACTAGGTTATGCTGTGGGTTAAGCTTATTTTCTTTCTGTATGAGTAGAATCCAGTCTACATGCCCTCCTGTAAACTCTGAATTTTAATGAAAATTTTAATTGCCCGTCTGAAAAACTCTCAGTTGAATGACTAAAACAAAATTTGGAAAAATGGCTTCATTTTGACTTCTGTGCTGTCACTGGAGAGCTTCCTGTAATGGAAGGATCACAGAAAAAGTACTGATGAAAACGAAAGAAGCAAAACACTTCAACTTGGTATACTTGGGTAGATTGACATCCAACTACTGCTGTTGTGTTGCTTGGCTTGAGGACCCCCACAAAACATTGTGTTCCCTGGGGATAATGGACCAGTAGTAGCAATAAACAAACATGCTTTGACAGCCACCCAAGTAGAATAGCAATCTGGAGAGAAAAGCCTGGTTTATTATAAGAATGAGAGTTTCGTAAAAGAACCTGTTTAACTTATCTGAGATCCTCACAATAGATCTGAAGTTGAAGGAGGCTGTGTCTGTTTCAGAGACATATGGTGGAAGGTTTTTAATTTACACAAGTGTGAGAGATTGGGCTATTTTCACTGAAAGTATAGATGTTAATTTTAGAAAGATTAGATTCTTTTCTACACTAAAATTATCAGGTAAAGGAGAGAAAATATTAGTGTAAACCCTTTAATTACACAAAGAATTAGAGGAAAGAAAGATATTAAACATATTTCATCTATATCAGCATGATTTAAAAACACTCATTGCACACTCATTGTGAAGGATATTAGACCAAAACAAATCAAACAGTGGTAGGAAGGGGATGGTCCAGAGCTGTCTGGCATTGAGCCATGTGTAAACCCTTAAAAGACCAAATTTGGGGGACCTCCCTAGTGGCCCAAGGGTTGAAGACTCAGCCCTGTCAAGTTATCACCAGCCACTGTGGCATGAGTTTGATCCCCAGCCAGGGAGCTAGCCCACATGGCTCAGCAGACCTCTCCCTTCTTGCTCGCTGCTCCCCTCAGCAGTGTATTTCAGTAGATCCTCCTGTTCTCCCCACTCTGTCTCTGGTGAATCCTCTCATGCCCTACACCTCTGGCCTTCACTAACCCCAATTCTTGTATGCATAAATAAATAAATAAAACTTCTTTTAAAAAAAAGACCAAATTAAGTACATTTCCAGTTTGGTAAAATGTTAGTCTGATTTGGAGATTCAGTTTATCATGGATAAAGAGAATGAAGTAGACGGTCATCTTTGGGTGTCTGATGCCTCCCTCATTTCCTTCTCCTTAGTTTTCATCCCATGGTGGAGGCTGTATGTTAGCTTCCATCTTGCAGCCATGAACTTGTTTGATCTTTACAGCAACTCCAAGAGAGGTATTATTTTCATTTTATAGAAAAGGAAACTGAGGTTTAAGAGTTAATGGAATTTATCCCAGGTCATTCTGACCACAATCTGTGTTCTCACTCCTATGTATTTTATAATCCCTCCTCTTTCCCATCACTTGACCACAATATAAATCAAAAATATATTTGATAATTTGATGGGTTTAGTGTAGCTTAATTTTCAGATTGACTGATCTACAGTTGACCGAGTGGGTCACTGCTCCGTGGGTGTTGGATCTTTGGGAGGAGCAAGGCCCGGGATAGTTGGGTCCTTTGTGGGGACCCTCCAGCTACCCCAGATCAGGCAGGGGAAATGAGAAGAGAGAAAGCCATATTTGGGTACTCTATTGAGCTCCAGCTTGGGACCAAATGCCACTTGGCAAATTTTTATACAGCTCATCACTTAATGGCTTCTGTATTTTTGAAATGGCTGGGGTCAGGGGAAGGTAGAAAAAGAATATTTTGTGATAGGTGAAAATTATATGAAATTCATATTTCAGTGAACATAAATAATGCTTTCCTAAAACAGCCACACCTATTCATTTCCGTATTGCCTATGACTGATTTCACACTCCAATGACAGAGTGGAGTCATGTGGCAGAGACTGAGTGGCCCACAAAGCCAGAAATATTTTCACTCTCTGACCCTTTGTGGAAAAAGTTAGCTATTCTCTATTCCATCAGAGGTTGGGGAAATTGCAAACTTCTTGAGGAGACACAGTGTTTAAGGGAGAGGGTGGCAGCCAGCAGTATGGCCCACTTCCTGGTAAGAGCTCCTTACTCTCTGGGTCTGAACTTGACTCCACCAGTTACCACCTGTGTGACCTTGGACAAATCACTTAACCTGTCTATGCCTCCATTTCTGTGTGTGTAAAATGGGATAACAATTGTTCCTACCTCACAGGTTATAAAGATTATATTTACATGTAAAATACTTAAACATTTCTTTACAAGAAATATGTAATATATCCCCAAAATGGTTGTATTGTGGTTCACCCTTGTGTCATAGGAATTTTCTCTAGGTTGGGTACAATGGACCCTAGTAACTTCTGAAACTTGGTTTCTCTTGGTAGCGCCCCACCCTCAAATTATAAGGCCCTGTGGCCCACAGGGCATACATTTCTCCTGGGCTGGCCCCTCTGTGAAGCTTCTATTTCTCTTCAGGGTTGACTCTGGGGAACCACAGTGCTGGTACCAAGTCATGTGCTGGCTCTGAGGACCCCACAATGGGGTTATTATTCTCCCCTCCACATCATATCTCAGTGACCACATCCCCAGTGGCCCTGTGTGGCCACAGTCTTGACTCTTAGTCCATTTGGAGGTAGAGCTGTGCTCTGTGTGTCCCCCCACCCCTGCAAGGGCACTGGCTGCCCTGCATATTCACCAGCATCAGTTTTATGGAGTGAGTTTTACATGCCAGGCCCTGGGCTAGCTGTTCTGCACATGTCATCATTAACCCTCACAAAATTTGAATTGTTCTGTGGACATTTTAGCCTTTGGGGTGTCACCACATTTGGGATGAGTCTCCTGTATCTAGAGTAAAATGTGTCCCTTTTCCTCCAGAGGCCAGTGTCTGGACAGATAATGGTTTCTCTCGAGCAAGGTATGGAATTCGTAGCCTCAGTCTGATATATGAGTTCGTTTTGCCTCCTTCTCTTGCCTGCCTTATCCCCCCCCATCCACCATAACATGCTGTCTAGGGACACATGCAGGAAAGTCTGAGGTTGCGAGTAGTCATACAGAAAAACCAAGGCATGTTATTCATATGAAATTGTTTGGGTTAGTAGCTCATCTAGGCCCAGTCTGCTCTTTCCTCTGGACAGCTGAGAAAACAGAGGTGCAGAGAGTGAAGTGATGGCCCTGAAGTGGCAGACTGTACCTACCTGGGCCTCCAAACCCAGCTCTGACTCTGAAACTACAGTGTTTTTGTCAAAAGTGGAAAGTGAAGGGGAAATAAACATTAAGTAGACTGCCAGCTCCATGAGGGCAGTTTACCTGTTTTATTGCATAAGATTCTTTTTTTCTATCCCAAAGGCTGAAAACAGTGCCTGGCTCCCGGTAAGCTCCCAGCAAAAAGAGCTTTAAGTTAGAACAAGTGTACTTATGGCCAAGCTGCAGGTAGACTGGGAGTTGCCTCTCTGGAGAGGTACCAGGGAAAGAGTACAGCTGTCCTGGTGGGATGCTCTGTAGCCTACAGAATTAGTTTGAAACATAAATTCAATTAGTTTGTTTAATGAACTTCAGTTTCTTTTCCAGCTACATAATCATTGGCCTTGGGTATGTGTCGTCACTCCAGGGAATGACCCTGGGTGCACCTACTGATGAAGCCAGGGGGTTGCGTCTCACAGAGACAGCACGTTGGATTCACTTGTAGGATCCTGTTTATGGGAAAGGAACTATCTATTAATGCCAGAAAATCTGAGAATGTACATGTCAAACATGGTGCTGTGGATTGTATTGTGTTCCCCCAACACGTATTTTCAAGCCCTCAAATCCTCCCCCATGACTGTATTGGATATAGGGCCTTTAGGAAGTGATTAAGATTAAAAGAGGTCAGGGAGAGTTCTGATATAATAGAACTAGTGAGGACACAGTGGGTGTCAGACCTTCACCAGAAACCAGGTCTACTGGCACCTTCTTCTTGGACTTTCCAGCTTCCAGAACTGCAAGAAAGTAAACAATGTTTACGCCACCCAGTCTGTGGTTTTTGTTATGGAACCTGATCTGACTAATATACATGTTTTTCCCAGTCATTATTTACCCATTGACGTAACTAGGATCTGGATGAAAAGGCCTTTACCTCTTCAAAAACAAAAGCAGGATTCTCTAAATGATGCCCCTGGTAGTCAATAAAATTGAATCCAAACAAGTAGTTGGTATAATCAGCAATTATTTTCACAAAAGGAGAACCCACATTTAGTTCTTTTCTGTGTGAAAAAGGCATCTCATAATCACTGTCCTCTTTAATTCTCATAGTTGTGCTGTGTTTTTGTTAGCAATAAGGAAATTTGGCCTCAGAGAAGTTGCATGAATTATCTAAGGCTACCCAGCTTGTGAGTGGCTGATTCCAACCCCAGCCTAGGCCTTTGACTCTTGGGCAAGGCTGTGTAGACTCAGAATATAGTTCATACTCTCTGATTCTTAATGACTGTATCTGACAGAGCAAGAGCTTGAAATCAAGTGCTATAGCTGAAGGAGAAATCAGGGAAATAAAGAGTAAGGTTTTGTCTTTGTCCTTAATTTACCTGACAGCATTTTCCAAAGTAATAGATGTCTCAGAAATGTGTGGGATGCAACATGCCACATTTGCAGCAATTACCAGGCAGAATTAGGCGAATCAGGAAGATGCTAGCAGCATCCAAACTTATCAGCTGTCAAGTCTGCTTGCTCTTGGTCACCTGAAGCATGCCATTCTAGAAGCACTTCATTTTCTCCTGATGAAAATTAGAGGAGTTAAGTTTTTTTCAGCAAGTAGTACAGCACAAAAGAGATCATTTGGCTGAGATGTCTGCGTGGATTTGATTCTTTGGAAAACAAGGTTTGTGAAAACAAAAACCGCAGTTGTAAGTACAGGCCTTGTGTATAATATATGCAAAGCTCCTTCTGTTGGTCAGACTGGGCACAAATCCCTAAGATGCAATTATTACTTTTCTCAGTAAACTCCATTTGAAAGAGCAAATAGCATACGCACATAAACACAAGCAAATCTAGACTAACATCTAGAGGGAAATCACGCACCCATGCACTGCTTCTTTCTCATCAGACTGGAAGGAGGCATTAGAAATTCACATTTAGTGTATTCCTACTCTGTTAGACTCTGTGGTATGCTCTTTAGGTGGGTTTGTTATATTTTTGTCTTCACAGCAGCCTTGTGAGGTAGATAATATTATCCATATTTTACACATTAATAAACAGTGGTTAAATAACTTGCTCAAGGTTTGTTTTTTTTTTAAGTTGGGAATTGAAACAAGGTCATATGATTCAGAGATCCTTGCTCACTGTTGATGGATCCCAACCACGTACTCTTCCTCCCCCCTGTCTGATGATTCAGGGAAGGGGTGAGGCCCTCCTTCCCTGAAGCCAAAGACGTGTCCCACACTCCTGTTGGGATTTCTGGGGTGCTTTCTTCATTGTTTTCATCAATTTGGCTTTTCCTGAGTAAAATCAGGGGAGGTTTTTTTCCCATGTGAGGGTCACTTTTACATTCTTGCCTGCACAGTGACAGCCCCTCTTCGGGGCCCATAATCAGGCTGGGCTGTGGAAGGTCTCAGCCTCTCTCTAGCTCTGTAGTTGTGGGGGACTGCTGGCCTGAGTGGACTTGGGCTTTCCCGATGACTCCATTTCCTGGGCCACTGAGTTTCCCTTTTACAGGTACAGAGGGAGGATGTGGAAGGCTTCGGGAGACACATTATAATTCTGCAAGTGCATTTTGGCTGAACATCATGAGATGTATTTTCTTTGTAGGTCAAGTTATAACAGCACATAATATCAGTACTCTTGATTAAATAGCCATCTGTAGTGGCATCATTCAGCCACATTATGGGTTCTTAGAGACAGTTTTGGTAACTAGGGAAGCTTTTTAGTAATAGTAGCTAACTAAGAGCATGGACTTTGGAGTCAGACTGCCCAGCTTCATATTTCAGCTCTGCCACTTGTTTAATGTTGAGCAAGTTCTGTGCCTCAGTTTCCCTCATTTGTAAAATGGGAATAATAATGGCACCAATCTCCCAGGGTTGTTAGAGTGTTAAATGATTTAATCTGAGAAAAAGTTCCCAGGAACAAGGAATAGCCCCTAATGAGAGCTGCTGATGATTAGCTAGGATGGTGATGACAGTGTCTGGAGGAGACTGAGAATATTGATATTAGAATATTCAGGCCATTAGCTCTGATTTACATACTTGCAAGTCAGTATAGGCCAATGACAGTCATTAGCTGGGCAGTGTCCCATACTCCAACAGTTCATTCATCAAATATTAACTATTATATGCCAGATACTGTGTTTGGTATCAAATATACAAAAAAAGTGAATGAAGCTCAAGATATGATTCAGCTTTTGTGAATTGCACAGTAGCTGGTCAAGGTTAATTATGTAGCGTCAGGATATTTCAAGTAATTAATTTGCCAAGATAATCATAAAACACAATGTCATTGAAATTTATTTTCTTCTTTTAGATTTTACTAAGCTTTTCATAGCCCCTCAGTTACAATCTGTCCTGTTCTACAAGGAGACCAGTATCCTTGAGGGTTGAAAAATGAGGCAGGAGAGGTGTGTGGCCCTTCGTACAGGCCTTTGCCAAGGAATTAAAACATTATTATCCTAAGAGCAGCAGGATTAAACAAGAGCATGAGATGAAATTTAAAATTTAGAATAGGGCCTCCCTGGTGGTGCAAGGGATTAAGCACCTTAATATGAAGCAATTCACAGCCTCTGCAGCACGAGTTCGATCCCCGGCTGGCCAGGGAGCAATCCACATGGTGCAGCAGATCTCTCCTGACTCTCCCACTGCTCCCCTCAGCAGTGTACTTTGGTCAATCTGCCTGTTCTGTTGCTCACTCTGTCTCTGGTGAATTCTCTCACCCCCCCCCCCCAACACACCTCTGGCCTGTACCCCAGCTCTTGTGTGCATATATAAATCTTAAAAAATAAATAAATAAAAATAAAATTTAGAATAACTTTTAAGCTTCCTGTTAATCTGTGTTTCCCTACCAACTTTCTTTTATTCTATTTATATTTTAATGTGATCACTGATATATTTGGATTTAAAGCTACCACTTTTTTGTTTTGTTTTGTTTGTCCCATCTGTTTTATGTTTCACTCCTTTCTTGCCTTCTTTTGCATGGATTGTATTTTTCAAAAATCATTTGATCACCCATCCTAGTATGTTTTTCTTCTTTACTTGATAATCACAGAAAATGGAACACATACCCCTAACTTGCCAAAGTCTAAAGTGAATTTTCCCTCCAGGAACCTGGAGAGTTTCTCCCACTTTTGGCTTACACATTATTTCCCTCTATATGTTAAATGTCATAAGTTATTCTTACACAAGATATTCTTATTGCATTCTACAGTGTTATTTTGGTTGACCCAAATATGTGTTCCTTTTATTTGTTATTCCTTCTTAACATTCTTTCCACCTGGTATCCTTCTTCTCCTGCCTGAAGAACACCTTTTATTTCCTTGGGTGTAGATCTTCTTTTGGCAAACTCTATTTTTGTTTATAAAAAAATATACTTATGGCACCTTCATTCTTGAAGAATATTTTAGCTGCATATGGAATTTTAGCTTGGCAGTTAGTTTCTTTCAGAACAGTGAAGATTTTTTCTCTGTCTTCTGGCTTCCCTTGTTCTGCTGAGATGTGTCTACTCTAGAGATGATTCATTTGAAGGTCATCTGTATTTTTTTCTCTGACTGCTTTAAGATTTTTTTTTTTGTTTTTCTTCTGCAGATTCACTGTGATGTGTGTAGGTGTGGATTTCTTCATTTTTATACTGCCTGGAAATTGTTAGTTTTTCTGAGTCCATAGATTGATGTCTTTTATTGATTCTAAAATAGTCTAAGCTGTGACTTCCTCATGTGATGTTTCATCCTCATTTTCTCACTCTTCTTGAACTCGCAGGAAATAGATGTTCAACTTTCTTACTGTGTCCTCCATGTCTTTTGCTCCCTCTTGCATATTTTTGCCTCTCTGTCATACATTCTGGATTGTTCCTCTGACATCTTGTGGCTTACTATTACTTTGTTCAGCTGTATGTTAACAGTTGTTAAGTCTTTTCACTGATTCATTAATTTTGATATTTACTTTTTTTCCCCTGGCGCTAGAATTTTTGTTAGGTTCTTTTTCAAGTCTGTCAAATCATTTTTAAAAAATAATTTCCAGGGCCTCCCCTGGTGGCGCAGGGGTTGAGCGCTGGGATGCGAGGCTGCCTGCAGCCTCTGCATTGCTGGTTCGATCCCTGGCTGTCAGCGAGGGTCCTACATGGGGCAGCAGACCTCTCCTGCCATGCCCACTGCTCCCTTCAGCAGTGTGTTTCGTCGGTCTGCCTGTTCTGTTCCCAGCTCTGGCTCTGGTGGATTCTCTCATTCTCCCGTGCTTCTGACTGTACCCAGTGCTTGTATAAATAAATAAATTAATTAAAAAAAAATATTTCCAGATACCTCCTGAAAATTTCAGGTGCTTGGCTGCTGTGAGTGTAGCTGTGTTATAGTCCATATTTGAAGGCTGTCTCTATTTCTGTTGGTTCTTACTTATATTGTCTTGTGTGCTTGGTTATCCTTTACAGAGGTTTTCTTTTGCTTCTGCCAAGGTACCAGGTAGGGGTGGTGGGATGGCTGGCTTAATATGAGTGCCAGGCTTTAGGTTCCTAGATGACTTAGTTGGTATAAAGCAGCTGTAAGTCTGCCTAAGAGCTGGTTCACTTCTGGCTCATGTTTTCCTCAAGTTGGTGACCCTTTGGGGCCACAGATGAACCAGATACATAGTTTGCTATATTCTCCATCATTGATGCCTCTGGCTTTTACTTCAGTCCCGTTTTCTACCTGAATTTTAGAATAAGTCACTCAGTTTCATGACTGAAAACAGCAAATATTCCTGGGTAGTAGGTTTATCCCACTGGATTCTGACTTTCTAGAATTTTGGCTGGGACTACCTCACTATATTAATACTTCTTTGAAGCTTTTAAGAGGATGTTTTCAAATATCTTATTTAGTACTTTTAGTTACCCTTTATTGGGAGAGATGACCCTAATTTCGTTGTGTCCCCGATACTAGAAGTGAAAGTCTCTATTACAAGAAACTTTCCAGCAAAAAGATTGGGGCCCTTGTAATTGTTTGTTGTTTGAGAAAGTTGCTCCTGTGATACCGTTCTCTGTGCATATCCTTTTTGGGGAACAAATATAAAGGGGTTGGTACCATATTGTTATTTAGAAAGTAGGTAGACCTAACAAACTCATCCCTCTTCCTGGCAAAGGTAGCCCTTGAAGAGTGATGTTTCTTTGAATGATTAAAACTTTGTGCTTTGGTAGAAGACTTTCTCATCAATTTGTCCATTAATTCTTTTAAAGGCATCAGTTTGGGCAGATAATTCTCTATTTCATCCTTTCCATTGAGGTCATTTTTTACTAAGTCTGATCTCTCCACTTATGATATCACATCCCAGTAGAACAAAGCCTCACATTCTTAGAGGGAAAATGTTATTTATATGATGGAAATGATTTTTTCATATAAACTGAGCTCAAGAAAAAAGGAAGAAGCGAATTAATCTGTATACAAGGAGCAGGAAGCAACCTCCTCATTTGCTGGGTGAATGTCTAGTTTCAGGGCAACATCAGGCACTTTCTGGGGGCAGTTTGGCTTTTCATAAACAAACATTAGCTCAACGTAATTACAAAGGAAGCAGTGTCCATTTTGGGTAAAGCATTGTAATCAAGTAGTACATGAAAATATGTTCTTTATCTGGAGACCCCCTAATCACCAACACAGGTAAGGTTGGAAAGAACACTACTTGCTACCGAGATGCCATTTGTTGTTACTGGTACATTTTTCTTAGCTGTCTTCTCTTTTCACAGCTTCCAATTCCGAATTCCTGTTTCTGAAGCCTGTCTTCAAAATGATTGCAAAAGCCACTCAAAATAACATTTTTCATTGTGCTTCTTAAAGAACTCTTCCAAGTACGAGAACAGGATTGGAGAGTGCCCTGTGTGTTTATTCCTTTGAAATTTCATTGGTGTGAAGATTACTTCCAATGAACATATTTATCTTTCAACATTCTTCATTTGACATCATCCTGTAAAGATTTCCTAGAAGAATAGGGCTACACTGCTGGAAGAAAAACTTAGCATACCTGCAGTGTTAATTATATAGCACTGATGTGAAACTTGAATTTAAACCGCACATAAGGGGGGCATCGTAGATGATGACATTGGCCACAAATGAATTCTAGGAATTTTTTTTTACTTATGTTTAACTGCAGTATAATTCTACATGAATTGACTTAATGTGCTGATAGAAAATGATGAAGATTGAGTAGTCTATATTTTGTGTTTTCCATTACTATTGACAGAAAGTATGCTTTCATGTTCTCTTCATTAATGCGGCCTAAAAGATCACTAAAAAGAAATAAGGCTTTGGAAATTTATGTAGAATTAATAAGTAGAATGATCTATATAGCGGTATCTTTACTTGAAAAATTTTATAACGTACCTTTCAGATCCATTCTTTATCCCTTGTGCATCACAGTTTCAAAAGAATCTGTTGCTTAGCAACCAGATTCTATATGATGGAACTCTTGAAAGAACTTTAAGTGTTAACACTTTAGAAATTGAGAGATACCTTGGACATTGTGAATTCCTTTTAAAAGGAGATAGAAATTGTGTAGAAAAGAACCACAGTGAAAAAACTCTCAAAAGTAGACAAAAATATCTCAGAAGCATTTGAATAAATGCTTTCCAATTTAGAAAATTCAGTCATATAAAAATTGAAATAATTGCTCTGAAGGATGAGAGTTTGGTGTTCTTTTTAAGATTCCCACCCCTAATGGGTTTTTAGCCCCCTCTTTTCCCTAGTCATGTATTGTTACACCAAACCCCCAAATACAGGTGTGTAATGACGTACTTAAAGTTCCCTTCAGCTTTTCTCAGAATGGGTCTGATGTTCTAGTCTTTGTTTTTTGGTTTTGTTTTTCTTTTTTTATCAAGTTTCTACTTTTGAAATAGAGTTGAATAATGGTTGGAACATTAATTTTAACTTGAAAAGAATCTTAATTAGAATTAATTTCTTTTTATTACTGTCAGCTCTTCAAAGTTGGTTTCTTTTGTACCTGCCATTTTCCGTTCCACTTGAAATGTCTTGTGTTTTCCTGGTTGGACCAACAATAACCAGGGATTCTGTGCAGGCTGAGGTGAGAGCCCTCTAGGTTTCTTAGCATATGTACCTTTACCTTTCTGTGCAGGGAAATATGATTTAATAAATGATGCCTTTTGGGGAGACAGCGAGGGCTGCCATGCCTTCTGATTTTGTGAACCTCTTGCTTCCAAAGGACCCTTAATTTCTAGTCCTTATTTCTTTTCTTTTCCCCTTGCCTAGTAAGCATCCAAGGGTTGTGGAGCTCCAAGTTACCATCCTCCTTCCTTTCCCTATAAGTGACATTCTTCCAGGACCATCTTTGGTCTCTCAAACATTCTCACTGTACCCAAATGTCAGGCTTGTTCTCAGTATTTCCTTCCTCAGGCTGGGAAACTCTTTATGGAGGTAATCTTCATCTGTTCAGTTACAGGGCACTGCCACCTGATTCCTCTCTGGCAAGGTTCTGGTTGGTTCCAGGTGCTTGTTTTCCTCCTCACTCACTCATTGAATTTTATGGGGTGCTCCATCCCCTCCTTTGCCATGGGCCGGGCTGGATTGGTGGGCATGCCACCAGTGGAGTCGCACAAGGCCCCGTTCTCAGAGGCCTCCTGCTTGGGATGCTCTGTAGTCACTGTCTTGAAATTCTAGTAATTTAATTTTCACATGTGTGTGAAGTGGGGTGGCACTATAGGCATGCATCAGGGCCATGAATTCATACTTGGTCCTGTCTTCCCTTTCTCTCCACCCCCTCCTCACCTTCCCAGCTCCCCTGGATGAGTTCTCAGCCATCTGCTCCTGCCCCTAGCCCACCTTCACTGCCCCTGTCTCTGGGCTGGCCCAGTTGCATGGGCAAGTGGAAGTTTGTATACTCCCTTGCCCTCCAGGCCAGCCAGAGGCCTAAGAGCAGGTGCAGGAAGGATTGATTCTTCTGCCATGGTGGATATAGTGGGTAACTCCAGGGGGTAGGGGGCACTTGCTCACCTCTGATCCAGGCACAGAGCCATTCCCAGCACAGAAGCTGCAGTTCCTTGATGGTGACCAGGCAATTTGGTCACCATCAATTTGCGGTGGTGGGCTCTTAGGAAGGGGAGATTGATGTCTCTGCCCTACCCTAGGGCGCCTATTTTCATTTTGTGCTGGGCCCTGCCAGTTATGTTGTGAGTTGGATATAATGTGTTAGAGATGATTTCATTTTCTCTCCTGGTTAATTTCTGTGTTTTTTGGGAGAAAGTCCCTTTCAGTAAACTGCTACTGTCTCATGGGAAACTACACTTCCCTGATTTATTTTAATTTGCTTTATTGATTTTTTCCAAACTATAAAAGCAATTCATACTTTCTGCTATAAAACAACCTGAGTGTGTACAAAGCAGAAGGTGGCATTGTTTTTCCTCCCTCCCAAATGTGTTCGCTTTGAGTGTATATGTGTAATCTTCCCAAACTTTTTTTCATGATCATATAGTAAGACACATATACACAAGTCATGTGGGGGTTATTGAGGAATGGCAGAAATGCTTATTTCTTGATATCCTGGATGTCCTTTTATTTCAATATACATAGATCCAACTCATTCTTTTTAATAACACATACATAGTATAGATTTGCTGTAATTAGTTTGCTAGTCTCATCACATTGAACAGTTAAGTTGCTTCTAAATTTTTAGTGCTACACGTAAGGCAGCAAATGAGTCCCCATTACTAATGTCTTTATCATCTCGTGATTTTAGTTCACAAGGATGAATTCCCCTAAGTAGCAGTTCTAGACAAAAGGCGTATTTCTTTGCAAAAAAGACTCTAGGAATTCAACTCTCCCTGCAACAGTATACAAATGCCCTTTTCCTTATATTGTTGCCAGCACCAAAAGTTATCATTTGTAAATTCTTGTTGACATGAAGAATGAAAATGGTATCTGGTCTTTGCTTTTTCCTAATAACGTGAGGTCAGGTATCCTATCCTGTAATTATTAGCCACTAGGATTTCCTCTTCTGCAAGTTTCCTATTCATTGCTGGTATATATTTTTTCTATTGGAATACTTACCTTTTTCTTAACAGTTTGGAAAGAGTTTTGTTGGTTAGGCATATTAGTCTCATCTTTCATCTGTGTGGCAAGATTTTCCTCAGCTACTATTTGTCATTTTACTATAATTATGCCTTTGACATAAAACTATTAAAGTTAAATATGGCTGTTGTTTCCTTTCTAGTATTATATTTATTGACTTACTTAAATTCTCTCTGATGCTGAGATTATAAAATAGTCTCCTAAATTCTTAAACAATATTTTTAATCCTCTTGAATCCTATTTTTGTGTCTTAAACAATTTTTGATTCTCTTTAGATAGATAATTATTTTAGCACCTATCATTTCGGAAACCAGTCCTTCATCTGTATTTGTCATCATATATTATGTTTCAGTGTCTACTTGGATCTGTTTCTGAATTTTCTGTCCTATTCTGCTGATATATTTGTGTATTCCCACACCAGTGACACATTGTTTTAAATATGAGGACTTTATAATGTAATTATATCTGGTGGAGAAAATGTTCCCTCACTATTCCTTATTTTACAAATTTTCTTGGTAATTTTAATGTTCTCTCCCATATGAACTTTAAAATAATTGTTTCCATTTCCTCTAAATACTGTATTGGGATTGGATTAGAATTTAATATATAACTTAAAATTTAATTGATTTTTAAAAATATATAATTTTCTTGACATTTATTGGTTTCCTTTATGACTTTATAGCTGTTATTGCCATGATATCTGGGATTGGTTATCTGTTTCTTATAGGTTAGTGTAGGGAAGACTATTAATTTTATATGTTTATTGTGTATCATCACTTTGTTAAAAAATGTTCCTCCAATTTGTAGTTTTCAGTACTGACAGTGATGAAAAGTTCAATACAATTCTTTTTTTCTCTACTAGGGAACATTTTCTTAACGCAAGTTTCTAAGTTTTGGTCTTTATTCTCATAGTTCAGATATTTCAGCAGGAGATGCCTGGTTAAGCCTGAAGGTTTAAGTCTTTCTAAGGAAAGTGTTCATGTGTTATTTCTTCAATTGTGTGTTCCCGTCTGGTCCTTTTTCTCCTTTAGACTAAGTTACTGATTTTGCAGTTTTAATTTCCTGGATCTATTCATCTTTTTCTTCTGTGTTATGATAGATTTTTAATTTGACCTTCTAAACCAGGGATCTACAAGCTTCAGATCGCTTGCCAAATCTATCCTGCTGCCTGTTTCCATAAATAAGGTTTTACTGGAATGAAGCCAAGTCCATTTATGTATGTATTATCTATGGCTGCTTTCATGCTACAATGGCAAAGTTGGACAATTTCAACAGAGACCATATGCCCACAAAGTCAAAAATGTTTACTGACTCGACCTTTACGGAAAGTTTGCAATGCCCATTCCAGACAACTTACTTTGTTCTTAGGAATGATTATTCTCTTTCAGTTAGATTATTGAATTTAAATATTTCCAAAATTCTTTAAGCTTCAGAACTCTTTATTTTGTTCTAATTACATCACTTTGAGGGTTTGTATTCCTATGTCCTATAATGTTTACTTCTGTTAGTCCAGCCCATCTCTTTAGTTTTATCTTTTCCCCTTAGAGACCAAGCTTTTCAGAAATCACAGGGTTTTCTTTGCCTGCTTCTGGGTTGTTTGCCCTCAACACCAAAGCACTGAGAGGGTAGAGTTCTCACGCCACCCCCTCAGACTGAAAGGGAATGGAAGACCTGGCAGTCCTTGCTGGGGCAGCTCCTGGTCAAAAGGAGAAAAATCTATACCTGTTCCAATGACTGAGAAACATCTTTATTCCTTAGCCTTGACAGTGCATTGTCACATTGGAACAGCCTTTTCCATTATCTAAGGACAGAAATTTTCAGTTCTCTAGGTTGAGCAGGACTGTGGGGCCTCCATGCATTGGATCTTTCACAGTCAGCTGGCCAGGTGGCACTCCTCCCAAGAACACATGTCCATATGCATGGCTAGTATGTGTAGGTACACATCTTCTGCCTTCTTGGGAAGCCAGATATTGGCTTCAGATGCTATATATTACAGATCACAGAGCCAGGGCCTATTGCAGTTTCTTAAGAACTCCAGATTTCAGATACCTGTGTTTTCCAGGCTCAAGCGAAGGCTTATTCTCTTGAGATTTTAGAGTCATTTAATGATTTCAGAGGTAAGAAGTTGGGAGACCTCCATGTTGATTTATACTTTGGGTTTTTACTTTTTCCTCTCGCCTGTCTGACTGTATTGAGAAGTAATAGATGATAGGGTGGTTATGCTATAGATCAGCTTGGGTCCTTGTAATTGCTTAATAAGGAGTTTAGTGGTACCTGGGTTCTGCATTCCCATAAATAAATGAAGGACCACACTCTTGTTTATTTTCCTTTATATGTGTATGTACATACATATATTCT